ACAGTGTAATGATCCATTGCTTCTTGACCAATCAGGAGGCCGGGCAACACGTCATTACACAGCGCCCAGCTTCCTGTTTGGCCAGAAAGCCGCCTCCATGCTTTCTCGTCACCTGGTGACGAGGGAGCATGGAGACTGCTTCCTTGCAGGAGTTGAAAATCAGTCACTTTAATGATCCAATCGTGAAAAGGGAATTCCTGTTAATTTTATTTATTTATGCCCATTACTGAGTATTCAAAATAAATACACCTACAATTTATTATGTGGTGATTTTCCAATCCCCTAGTAAATCAGCCTTATATTTATCCCCATCCACTTTTTTTTTGTTTGATTTAATTTTTAATACTTCCTTCAAAAAATAAATATCTTTTGGGCCACTGATTATTTGTCTACAGTGTTACTGCAGTGAAGCATCTACCAGTTGCCTTCCTCTTGCATTATTTAACAATGAATTGCAACAAGGAATGTAGTCCAGCGTGACTAAGAGAAATCAGGAAGCCCTAGAGCAACTGTAAATGAAAGGAAATACTTGACACAACAGGTGGAAGGCTGTAGTAACCTTTTTGTTTGTTTAATAATTGATATTGTCCTGTAATATTTAGTAGCTTAGCAAGTCATCTGAAATCCAGTTTCATATACCTCGAACATCGCACACATTAGGTCCATATTCCATAACTAGGCAGCTAAATGCTAATATGACTACATTACTGAGAACCCCGTGTAAACAGGACATTAGTGCTCCTGTGTTCATTTACAAATCATGCAATAACACTATTGTGGGGCCAATTGTCATTTCATTCGTCTTTTGAGATGCATTTTTCTGCACACCACCACCACACATCTATGGTGTGAACAGAGCACACAGAAAACAATTGGTTTGAATGTGTCCTGTGCAAACCATACATTTGCAATGGTGTTAGCAAGATACCATCATAGAAGTCTATTTATAAACAATAAATTAAAAATTAAATAAACATATTAAAAAAAATCAGTGAACATTCGTTGTGGGTGAATAAGGCCAAAAATAAATGTTCTTAATATATATTTTTCACAGTTTGAGTGTAGTGTTGTAATAATACACTATGGCCACTAGATACAGCGTTTCCCAGTTCGAATGTAACGTGTTATTGTAATGATACATTATGGCCTCTAGATGGCGCTGATGAGCATACTTATTTTCTATGTGCCTCTACTCCATCTAGTAGCCATAATGTATCATTAGAACTGGGAAAAATATATCAAGAACTTTTTTTGCCATTATTCGCCCAAACATACATTCACAGATATTCTTAGGGAGATGTTTATAAAATTGCATAAGGGCTTATGTGGTCAGCTTAGACGCAAATAGTGGTAAGTAAAGTTCTTAAAAACTCAAGTGATGTTTTCTCACCTTGCCCTGTTACAAATAAAATCACATGCACTAGTAATTCCAGAGTTGTCCGTGCAAGGGGATCAGACATAGAAAATGTTTATTCAAAGTACAATTCTACATGAGAAAGGAATATTGTTTTATATTGTAGGCCCGTAATTCTTAGTAAATCTTAGGAATAAATCACCTAAATCTGTTCAAACAAGAGTCCAGTAGACATCCCGGATATGATAAAGTTTGAAACACGAAATTAAAAAATTATAATATAATAAATTATAAATAATTCTAAGAAATTATAATGTAATAATTTAAAAAAATGGTCCAGTAAATGGGAATTCTGGGGGCGCTGCCTGATCCGTACCACAGTCAATAGAGTACCAAGTTCGCACATCACTGAGCTCGGTCGCAGATTCATTGCTTTCGTCACTTTCAGTGTCTGATGACGAATTTCCCAACTAATCGCCATCGCTCAATTCTGCAAGTGATTCTAATTTACTATTGCTGTTTTCTACCTGGTCTAAAACCGCTTTTGACCTAAAGGGACGCTTTTTGGATGCCATGGACGGTCGCAAGTTTCCAGGCAGAAAGAACAGTAAAAGTGCAGGCAGGGCACTGGACAAAGCTCTAGGGACAAAATTGAAGTGAAATAGTTTGATACATAAATGTAATTATAGCAGATTACATTGTATTGTATGTATTCTGTGTAAATGTCATGTTTTCACTTTTGAATTTCCAGCCGGCTCCGCCCCCTGCTGTGGCGTCCGAAAACGAAACTAAAAGCCGAATGCGGCATTGGCCGGGCGCACACAGCAGAGGACTCTGCGGGCTCGCAGGGACAAGGTAAGTGACACTTTTGTGCTATCCCGAGTCTGTACTGAAAATTAACCCCGAGCCAGACTCGGGAATACCGCCAATGAGGTTAAACTGAACCTGATCTTGCCTAAAATGCTTATAAGCTGATACAGGTAGCATGGCCTGAAAATCAGAAAGAAAGCATTATAAATGTAAATGTAAAATACTGGTAAAGTGACACTAAACTCAGAAGTTAAACATTAAAAATACATTCAAGGACCTCCACTATTAACAGAAATGTATCTTATTTGTGTATCACTCGGCTGTAGATCCTCCAATCATCTCTGAATTGGTGCCGACACTGTCCTTCCTTCTGGAAGGTGGCTACTTGTAAAGTAGCCACCGCTCCAAGCTCACTCCTGTGATGGACTACAATCTCATGTTTAATTTACTAACTTGTACTGAGATTGGAGTCCATCACAGGAGTGATCTTGGAGCGGTGGCTACTTTACAACACACACAGGGACCATGGGGAACAAAAGTAGCCATCCTCCAGAAGGAAGGACAGTGTCAGCACCAATTCAGAGATGATTTGAGGACCTACAGCCGAGTGATACACAAATAAGATACATTTTTGGTAATAGTTATGGTAGTTAAAAGGATTTTTAGGGTGTAACTCCGTGGGTTTAGTGTCACTCTGATCAATGTACAACAAAATCAAGCAGGCAAGTGCCTCCTAAAGTTCTGTCTTAAAGCAGCACTACAAACTGTGGTTACATTATAGATCTAAATGAATGGAAGAACTTCAGATTCTACTGTGTGCTCAGTCTGTCTCTGAGGTCCCACATTTTCAGCTTCAGAGATAAGCCCATCCCTTGGCTAATCTGTGTTCTGAGTCCCCCATAGTGGCCAGTCACATGATCGAAGTCTAGCTCTGATATGCTTATATGAAATCATCTCACATTCATTAGCTAAACAAACATATTTTTCTTTTACTTACAATTTCTTGTTTTCTACTTCCTGGTTCTCTTTGAAACAAATGATGTAATCTGTGCCCAAACATTGCATCATGGGAAGCTTACATCAGCAGAGCATTGCTGGGAAATCTCATCTGTAATCTCATGAGATCTCAGGGAAAGTGATGTGTATCCCATGAGATGTGTATGGTCACAGGTCCTAGTCAGGTGCCAGAAATCCAGGAAGTAAAAGGAGAGCTAGTAATCTGCACTTAGTAAACATGACCACTGCCGGAAGACTCGGAAAGAAAAGAGAAAAAAGATATGCTAAGAATACAATTATCTAGAAGTTTAGTAATGACAATCACATACATTTCTAAAGGTGTGTTTGTTGTCATTTTGAAGATCTGGGTAAAGCTCCACTTTAAAGGGTAATTCCACTTTCCCAGGTGAATTTGGTAAAATGCAATTACCTCCTCCAATCTGCCCCCCCTCCTTCTCGGCTATACTTATCTTTGGGCAAACACTCCCTTCCTTCCGCCCCTTGCGTGTATACTATGTGTACCCTGTGTTGCCACCTAGTGCAGCCCTGTGCTTTGGATTTTGAATTTCACCCCCCAAATGGCGCACACTCATTGGTCAGCATTAGGGATGCACCGATACTAGTATCGGTATTGGTACCAATACCGAGTATTTGGGCAAGTACTTGTCCAAATGCTCTGATACCTTCCCCGATACTGGAACATGCAGGAAGGGGAACATGCAGCCAGTTTCCAGTGTGATCAGGAAGCTCGGCAGCAAGTTATGACAGCTTCCCGGCCAATAAGCATTGAGCCGGCTTCCCGGCCAATCAGGTAGCTGGGAGGTGAATCATTACTCGCGGCCCGGCTTGCTGATTGGCTGGGAAGCCGGCTTGACGGTATCGGCGCATCCCTAGTCAGCATGGCCACCTGACCAATGAGAATCTCTTCTGACTGTACTGACCAATAAGAAGCACTTCTTGCTAAGAATCACTTCTAATTGGTCAGCGAGGTCAGGTGACCAATGAGTGCTCACCATTTGGGAGTGAAACTAAAAATCCAGAGCGCTGGGCTGCACTAGAAGGCAGTACGGGGTACGGAAGGGAAGGAGCGTTCGCTGAAAGGTAAGTATAACAGGGGATGGAGAGGGGGCCAGATTGCAGGGGGTAATTAAATTTACCCAAATCCACCTGGGAAAGCGGAATGACCCTTTACCTAAAGCGTGTAACTTGCACTAAACACAAAAGGGGAATTTATAAAAATTGTAGCATACAGAAACTAATAGGTTGCCATGGGCAACTGCTCCAAATGCTATGTTTCATTTTCAAAGCTTAACAAATTGAAGAGAGAAACTGGTAGGTTACTACGGGCAACTGCTCCAGATTCTGTCATCACAACAGGAATAGATGGGAAATCTTGCAATGGGTACACTAGTTCTGGTGACCTTGGTCACCACCACCCTTACTTCCTGTTGTGGTTATTGGACAGGAAGTAAAGGGAATCTCCGCAATGGAACACAGATGACAAAAAAAAAAAGCTGACCGCAGTTATACTTCAGGTAAATCCTCCTATAACATAGTTTTGGTAAATCTAAAATTGCTTCTACTGATTAAACTATGACATATATGGTGACCCTTAGCCTGCTTTCCAGGTCATACTTTTCTGAAGGGTGACTTTACAAAGCCAGCTTTTGCCGTCACTGATTGGCCCCTCCATTGAACAATATGTGTGATTGGCTCTCTAACCGGTGCTGTGCTCAAAGCGGCGTCGTGATTCGTCCGTTTTTTCTATGTTGCTCCCCTATTGGTGAACGAATATCCGCACTTCTATTGGACAAACGAGGTCGACCATCGGCTCTGATTGGCGGCCGTTCTCTGCTGGCCGCTGATTGGCCTGTGAGCTGAGGAGTTGTCATGGCTGCCGTCCGTGGTGTGACCCGGCTCCTGGCCGGGCTCCGAATACAGCGGGTACCGGGCCGCCTCTATTCCGCCAGTCACCTGTCCGTGCCGGAGAGGATAGAGAGGAAGAGGAGCGAGGCACTGCTGGGCGGAGGAGAGCAGAGGATTCAGGCCCAGCACAAGAGGGTGAGGAGGGCACAGGGACAGGACCGGGGCAGTGACATGACCGCAACATGGACGGGACTGCAACATGGACGGGACAGTGACAGGACCAGCACAGCTCTCTTGGGATTTAGCTTCTGTCTGTAAAACATCTGTAACGGGAATATTTTTCTCCCTCATTCTCTGGAAGGAGTGAGGAACGGTTCGAACTCCATGTAAACTTTTATCTCTTCCATCGGATCCCCATGTGGGAGATTTCACCTCACTTCCTGTCAGTGGGGACGTGTGTGTGTGTGTGTGTGTGTGTGCTGAAAACTGAGTTTGCTCAACCCCATGTAAAACTGTCAATGACACCCCCCCTTCCTGGCCCAATCAGCTGCGGCCAGGGCATTCCCATTACTTGAAGCTGTGGGGCAGGAAATGCCCCGGCCGCAGCTGATTGGCCAGGAGGAGGGGTGGCGGCCTCTGACAGTTTTGTGCAGACTTTTTGGTTGGCACCGATCCCCAGCAAATCCCTACCTGTCAGTCTCCAACATGAGGGAATTCCCCTCTAGGAGCCCCTCATACACACGGGGAATGATGCTGCGTTCTGATGTCACCGTTGTACGTGGGTTCACCGTGTGCATGAGGTTGCCACCTGTCCCGGATTCACCTGCACAGTCCGGGTTTTGCGTCCTGTATGTGCTGTGTCTGGGTTTCAGCTGGCCTAAAACCCGGGAAACAGCACCTACAGGACTCAAAACCTGGACTGCCCAGGTGAATCCGGTGTTCTATCGAAAGCTGCGGATGGACTCGGTGCGTATGGACACGGCGGACTCGGTGCGTATGGACACGGCGGACTCGGTGCGTATGGACACGGCGGACTCGGTGCGTATGGACACGGCGGACTCGGTGCGGAAGTCACCACTTCTCTGCAAAGGCTTTTCACTAGATTCCATCTGTGATATGAAGTATTGCTGGTGGCCCAGAAGACCAGGCTGGCTGATGGGTGGAGTGATCTGTGCTGGTCACTTATGTTCCTCAATACCAAACTCGTCAGTCCATGTCTATAGAACTGGCCATGCACACAGGAGCACAGTCCTACTAGGACAGGAAAGGCCCTTCACCAAACTCCTAACACAAGGGTGAGACCATTGTGTCAAATATTTTTGTATGCTGGAACCCGAACAGGACACTTCACGGGAAATATCTGAACGCCATGATCTGGAAGGGGGGACGCGTACATTTGACCATATAGAGTTCAGAGGTGATTTTTAGTCCTGGGTGATATTCTGCCTTCTATAGAAATCCTAGTAGACCTTTCATGTATGAAGTGTTCACGCTGTGGTAACTTCTCTTCTGTCCTGTGTTCCAGGGAAAGCTGACAGCCCGGGAGAGGATCGGTCTGTTGCTGGATCCGGGCAGTTTTGCCGAGTATGACATGTTTGTGGAACATCGATGTGCCGATTTCGGAATGCAAGAAGACAAGAACAAGGTGCGTTTTCGCCTTCCTCTGATATCAATCCTTATTGGTCAAAGCAAAACCAAGACCCTCAGCGCATCCTTAAATGTGTGTGAGCCTGCACACAAAATGTATGATGTGATTTGTGTCATTCTAGTCAGTGGCACTATTACTGCAGATGGGATCAGCACCATTGACTCTGATGGCACCGAGCTCATCATGCATTGAACTGCACCATGAATGTACACATGTAAATGAGTCTCAGGATCGGGAATGCCGCATGTTCTCAGTCTAGGAATAGGTTATTCCTTTATTGGCTGTAACCATTTGCACTGTGTATACCCCGGACTTGTTTCTGAAGGGATTTGTAATATTTTCAATTGATTTTGTCACTTATCTCCAGAAGCTGGCAGCAAAATCTTTACTCACCTTGGAGATCAATGTTCATCCTAGACACTGAGCGGGCGCACTTAGACATGATTTATAGGCATAGTCCAACTTTTATAGAAAATAATAAATGCACACACGTTAATAAAATAATAAATGCATGTATTTAAAATTAAAAATAATTTGTCATTTGAGCCCGCAAAGCATCGCAACTGTGATCAGTGAATTCGGCTCAGGATCTGCAGACTATTCCTCCCAGATCCTGTCTGTACCCAGGTACAAGCTTTCAGTTATGGGACTGGAGGAAGTATCAATGGACTACGAGTGATGTGATGTCACCACATTTGCGCTCCATTGAGTATATGAGTGGCAGACAGGACTTGTATTCCCTCTATTCTCAGACAAATGGACTTTAAAGGAGAATCCCTTTCCGATCCGCCAGCGCTGACTGGCGGAACAGACGGGGGAGGGGGCGGGTCCAGCTGGCTCTGCCTCTAGATAGGCAGAGCCAGCTGTCAGTCACGCAGCTGGGCGGATCCCGGCACAGTTGTCGGGATCCGCTTCAGCTGCGGCGTAGCTCGCAGTATACTGAGCCTGGGGTAACGGGAGGACGCTAGTTTGTGTCTTCCCGTTACCCTAAGGAGAACTATGGGGAAAAGCCCTAAACCCACAGTTCTCCTTTAAGTTAATCTTTTATCTGTAATCTTCTTCTTCTTTTTTTTTTTTTAACAAAAAACTTTAAAAGGCGATTGTTCTCCTTTTGAAGCTGATGCCGTATTGCTTCTGATCACTATGTGGGGGAACCACCCCCTCCCCCCCACTGACAAAAGCTGCACATTAATAGTGAATCGGTGTCAATGGATTGCCCGCAGTCCTATCCCTCTGTCTTTTTGTATGCGTGTCTTTAAAGATTCTCACAGGGGACACATTGCTTTAGTGAGTATTGTTGGGCCGGCAATTATATTGATCTGTGCTCCTGTGTAGCGTGGACCTGAGATAGATCCCATATTATCACTTGTATCCATGATCGGAGGTTATAAGGCAGCCTAGTGTAAGTTCTCTCCTGTGGTTTGGAGCTGACGCACCTTTGTATTGTGTGACCCATGGCACATTATTTGAATGGCACTTGTCCTGTACACATACTGGGCATGACATACAATCTAGATTACAGAGACAAACCCTTTTTTTCCCACTCATGCACTGCAGCCACATTACCAGGTAGCGCAGTTGTTTCAGATGAGACTATCGTGGGATTGGTTAAATCCTTTATTACCTTTTTAATGAAGTAATTAAATATTCATACTTTGGAGAGCAGCTGTGTGATTTTTTTTTTTTTTTTTTTTTTTTTGTTTCCCGTTCCACACTGCACCCCTGCACACCTATTCCACCACTATATCCCCGCACACCTGTTCCACACTGCAGCTCCGTACAGCTATTCCACCACTGACTTGCTTTCAGAAGGTGGGCCCTCGATTGTCAGCGGGCCAGCGACGGGTGAGGGAGATCGCGCCGAGGAGAGCAGCGGCGTGCGCGGCTTCAGCGTGCGGTGGGCGTGGCTTACGCGGCCTGTGCCGTGGGCACGGCGGCCGCAACGGGAGAAGCGTGTGACGCGCGGCTCAGGCTGCATGTGGAGCCCCGAACAGGCAAATCAATCGATAGCCGACGAATCGACGATCGAAAACGTTGCCAACGTTTTCAATCGTCGATTTTAATCGACTAAATCGATTAACTGTTGCAGCTCTAAATATCAATTTAATGTAGACAAGTGAAATCGACCACAAAGCTTCCTATTCAGGAATGTCGCAGCTGCACCACACTCAGTTTAGGTTATATAACGTGTAAGCTGTTATTAGTAGGGCTGGTAATGATTAAAATTTTCCTGTTCGATTAATCGAAATTTTTTTTTTTTAATCGATTAATTAACGCACATACAGATCCAACTATATTGGCCTATACACATACAGCACAGCAATGAAGTAATAAAATGAACTAGGATCACACTAATGCAGCACGTTATTAATCTCACGTGGGGCAACTCAGAATAATAACGTGCTGGATTAGTGTGATCCTAGTTCAATATATTATTTCATTGCTGTGCGGTATGTGTATAGGCCAATGCCAGGGATCCCAACCTGAAAGAAGCAATTTCGGGGAGGTGTCCCTCTCATTTCAGGGAGGTGCCCTCTTCCCCCACCCCCTATCCGCGGAGGGGGTGGTTAGGGGGGGCTGGGAGAGAGCAACCCCCTAAAATGATGGCAGATAGCACAGGAAGCAATAGCTTCTTTGCTATCTGCAGACTTTTTTTTTT